GAATCGCGTTTGCTCGTCATCGTCACTGAACGATTTAAATTCTTCAACAAATGTCGTTTTCAATAAAAACAAAAAAATGTCAGACAGATCGTTACTGTTATTCATCTGATAAATTTCTGATTCTCTTCCAAATATTGTTGTATCATTGTCAAACACATCATGCAGATCTTTCTAAATATATTGCAGCATGTGCTTTGTTATAGTTTTTGCAATCAAAACTGAATACAACAACAACAAATATTTAATTGCGTATTTACTCTATTACGCTCATTTTATAGAGAGTCTTTAATCATGGTATTTATGATGACCTAATAAATTTTGCGAGTGTTTGCGCGACGCCAGCGTTACAGAGAATATATCACGCGAAGGATAATTAAATGTACGCAGACACAATGCGCTAATGGCGTTTTGCTAATTGCTTTCTTCATCAGAATAAATTTGTCGAAGTTTATTTCTTCGATAAGCATTTTTCTTCGTTCGACGATCGAGTTGAGCATGTTGAAATAGAAATCCGCACAAAATACCTCATCAGCTTCTGAATAAATTTCTTATCGCTTTGAATTAAGTTCAGAGTTGAAAAAAGTTCTCGATGAATTTTGTCGCCTCGGTGGACATGACGATTTCGTTCTGAGCGATTCATTAGCGACGCAATATAACGATTATGTCTTTATTAGTAAAAATCTCTTGCCTCGCACGCGCTAACGCCAATGAGGGAGAAATTCTCATGCACTCGCTGATCGAGGCTCATTGAAAGTTTAATTTCCAAACGAAATACTCTGCAATAATTTAATGACAGAAGTTTCTTCTATTGAATCCGTTTGCGCACACATATATCGATATGTGAGAGAATTTGACTCGTTGTTATATAATCAAACAAAATTGGTTTCATTTGACGCATATTCATATATATATTTTTCTTTTATTTGTTTTAATCAATTTATAGAAAATTCCATCGAGTTATTAAATTGAGCGGGAAATCGTTTAGAATATTTGAACTTCGTTATTTCTAAATCGTATTATTTCTCTTCTCGACTTTTTTCAAAATGACACTTGCGCGAAGATGAGACTGTTGGAGAAGCCTCCTATTATGTTTTGATAATAGTTTATTTTAAGTTAAAGATTATATCTCCGACGTGGTCACAGAACTGTCCTGAGAAATGCTTGGCAGAATGTCTGCTTGTACACACACTGATGCTCGCTTTATATGCGTCTAGCTATATCCGCTTCTTTGCTACTTGAAAGTCTGACATACACAGCCGCGATCTTCTAACTATGAAAAACGGTTCAAACTTGCATACCTCTTTAAAGTTTCGCGAAAGCAATTGAGAATTTCCAGGGAAACTCTTGAGACGTGTATGAGGACGTATATAATTTTCGATTCCACGAGAGAGGTGAATTTTCGTTATTGAATTCAGAATATGACGCGTTTGGCGCATAGCTTGTCAATACTTTGTCTTATATATTTCAAGCTATTCTGAGGCATGGCAAAAGCAATTTCAATTATGCTTGAAGCTTTGCTTTTATATGTGAAGTTACAAATGTAACTTTCACGATGAAGCAGATTTCTATAACATGTGTGTATTATACGTGTACAATGTAGAAATAAATATATATTTATACAAATATAATATATATTTTAATTATATATTAAATAAATGTCTCGTCGCGAAATTACTACCTACAACACTCAGTTGAGAGGATTGGTTTGTTGTTTACTACAATAATAACTACTACAAAAATCCGTGATATTAAATTCATCGACTAAATGCAATGCGCCTTCTGCGCGAACTGTGCCAATATTACCTTTTACGAGTGGCAAGTGGAAAAATATTCGATACGGCACTTCTATTTGCGTACGTTGAAGTATCGATACATTCGAATTGATATTCAACCTGAAAATTGAGACAACATTGAATTCAAATAGGAGGTTTTCTAAACATCTAACTGATAAGCCTGACATTTTGAGAAAGTTTAGAGAGTGTCCATTTATTTTATAACTATACATATATTATACGTATACATATTGTGTATGCAATTATACAGAAAAATGGAATTTTAACAGGTATTTACACAAATACCGATATTAAATGATGTACATATTCTCTTATAACATCTTGGACTACGCTATAAAAAACACTTAATCTCAAGATCTTATTGTTAATCTGCAACTTAAAAACTCGGTCTTGGTTTTATACGCATATATAATGAAGCTACTTCTTTTTGAAAATAGGAATAATATATATCAGAATTAAATTCAAAAAATAATATATTTCTCAAGAGAAATATACATTTGTATTAATATATATGCATGCGTTGAACAGGTGCATTAATATTGCAAGCGCATTTACATTGCAATTTATTCTTTTGTAGCCACACATAATTCTTCATTAATAATTACGAGCTGATACAACAGCTCTCTGTTACCTCCTCTCTCGTCGTTCTCTCTAATCTCTCTTTCTCTCTCTAGTATATTGATAGCACGGTCGATCAAACGCGCTTCCAATCTCATTACGACGTCACGAGCGAATTACTAAAGCATGTCATGAGAGAAAATTCATCGCGACATTCAAATCATAAAAAAAGCACCATATGGCAAATTAAATTACGCCGCTTCATCTATCTTCTGGGGAATTGCAAATTTTTATCGAAAAAGTCTCTCGCAAAAATATCGCTCTGTGAAAACTACGAGACATCAAAATCCTATAATAAACGTATCTAGAAAGAAGAATTTTGTACAATGTTTGAAAGCTGCAACCACACACACACACACACATTTATTAAATGTCTTTTTAATGACATTTAGATAGATAGATTTAAAAAAGAAATATATACACATTTACATGTAAACATTAAGAAAGAGAGAGAAAGAGAGAGAGGGAGAAGAAAGTGCAAAATAAGTGGCGATGTGTTTTCGTCAGTGATAATTACACTTAATTTTAATAATTGGCACACAGTAATCGTATAGATAGATGTGCAATGTGATAATGTGTGTTTTCTTAAAACAAAAAAATATTTAATTACTAATTAATGAATATTATTACAGCGCAGGATAATAATAAATGTGCTCATTATGCGGTTTGCATAATTTATCCAAACATTTATATTATTACGAATTGCATGATGGCAATGTATTTTCAATCAGAAAGAACAAAATAGACTTCTGCAAAATAGATTCCAACAGAATTAACATATTTTCGCAGATAATTGCTCGTCTATAGAGACCATAAATTTAATTACGCGTTTAAGCCATGAAGCGTTGCAACGAGGCGTAAAAGTGAGGAACACACTCTCGGCGCAAGCCGCAGTTTTTCAGTGCATCCTGTGTGACAGGCGACGTAGCTTCATGTCGGAATTTATGTGGAGAACATGCATCCGCCTGAATTCATCGTATAAGGGCTTACTCGTGCGATATGTCACACCAACACAACCGTCGTACGAACGTATGAGTTGTGTGTATGTGAAATCGTAGATGTGCGCGCATCGGTTTTGCATTTTTCAAGCCGATAATTTATCAATCTTGTCCACCCCGATTCCACCCCAAATCCCATTCTCTAGCTGGCACGATGGCAGAACGGCAAGGGTGAAAAGAGGAAGGGCCGGTTTGGTCTACGACCGGTCGTTTCTGGCAGGAAAATAATGAGCCTCTTTAAAGACCGGAAGTTTTCATTCGCGCGAGCTTGGAAAATCGATTTTCGCACTTTGTCGAACGCGTTACTCGCACCGTCATACGTCAAAAGGCAGCCGTGCACAGATTTTACTCCCGTGAGAATGTCGGTACATTGTTGTCGAAATATCATGAATATATAGCATAGGAGCATGCATACGAAACATTTTGTGAAACTCGTTTCACGACTGTATTTTGCACTTGAAAAAAAAAATTGGATGTTTTGTTAAACGTTAAATTTTTGAAACTAAAAATCAAAAATTAATTGGAATATTTGATTTATTCTAAATAATATTATAATGCACGACATATACAATGTCGTACATTATAATATTATTTAGAATAAATCAATAAACACATGATACATGTATATCATGTTTGGTTTGCTTATATATTTATATTATATTTGAATTTGCTATGCGTCTATGTTCAAAAACGAATTTACAAATCTTCTTTCAAGTGGATTATTTTCTATTTTAAACGATAACGCGAGCTTATACGATATTTCGTGAAACAAAACTCGTGACCGAGTGGATGTGTTCATACGCGCATGCATTTGGCATAACAGTCATAGAGTATGATTAAAATAGAGTTTAGTCGAGTGGTTTCGATATAATTGTAACATTGTCACATGGTCGATGGTTTGTAACAAATTTATAACTTGTGTGTCTATTAATATAAATATGCGATTAAATACTAAAATACTACAAAGAAAGTAAACTTGTTCACACACCATGCCGTGAGTTTAATAATCTTATGTATGACGTTATATTAAATGTGACAATTTTATAATCTTATCGTTCGGGCTAATTACAAAACAAGATAAAATAATTTGAAAACTTCTTGAAAAAGAGAGAAAAATAAATTTGAAATATTTCTACCTACAGTTGCAAAAATATTTCAAATTTTTTTTCAAAATTCTAAAACAATTTCTTAAAAATAGTAAAGTATTTTTAAGCATATATTTTTTTAGTGCAATTGTATTTTTACTTTTTTTTATTGACACTTTTCTCTGTCTGTCTGTTTACCTGTTGATAATCAATGAGAAATGTATTATATATGAGAATAAATATATATAAAATATATTAAACAACTGTTAATCTTTGAATAGCAATTGAAATATATATTTGTAACGGTATTTATTTGACATATATATTGAATCTTGTTGAGAATGATGTGTTTGTAAATACTTCAATGTTATATGAAAAGTCTTCGAACAGTCTTCGCTCGTAGTCACCATCAAACATCGATTCAATACAAACGTGTTTAAAAACAGCGGTTTAGTGAACATCAAGCAATCTCAGTTAAAGTATCATTAATTCAACTAGAAATTATATTTAGTTTTTTAATTCAAGGGTTAAAAAGACAAAATGTATAGTGCATTAATGGAAGTCGGTGATCCTGATATAAATGAAGAAAGAGTGATTCAACCAGCTGAGTTTTACTTTTCTAAACAGGTAAAATAATTATAATTAATACACACTGGAATTAATTTATAACTGATTTAATAAAAGATTGAAATACTTAAGTGCTAACTACAAAATAAATGATATTTCTAGTTTATAAAAACCACCAAAACACGACTAAAAAATGGTAAACATACACTTGATATTTCAAAACTCGACTGCGACAACGAATATGTGAATTACAACAATTATTTGAGTGATATGTTGCAGTATTGGATAGAGGATTACGATTTTCATGAACAAGAACTAGTTTTCAATCGATTTCCACAATTTTTCATTTTTATTGACGGTATAAAATACTTTACATTAAATAAAACAAAAATACCAATATATTATTGATACACACACAACGAATTTCTGAATATTTATTGATAATATTATATTTAAAATATTATAAAATTATACTAAATAATTTTTATATACAATAATTTAAAATAGCTTATATATTTAAACACTTCAGAATTTAACAATACACGACAATTTAACTTGTCCGTTAATTTCATTAAACAATTTTTTTATTTTCTAATAGTTATATAACTACTTTTGTAGAATGTATAAATTATATAACATGTGATATACTAAATCATATATAAAAAATAATTTAACATTTAGAATAAAAGTAACCTACTATCAGTAAACTTAGTAGGATCAGTTTTTTTTTAACTCATGAATTTTTTATTCTTTAACATGTTAAATGCGATTAATTTTATATGACTTGCCAAAGGCGCCGGATTAAATAGTTTGTTACACGATACACACATGTTATAAATATTATCTATAGCATATAAGTAAAATATATATGTGTTTTAATATTATAACATATTAGTAAAATATTATCTATAACATATAAATTAAACTTTATTATCATGTTTTATGCATTTATTTTACTGGAAGTCACCGGTGATCTTTACGGTGCTGGTGTGCGTTTTTTCACACACACATATATATATATATATATATACATATATATATTTTACATTATGACAATATTTTACATTACATTATAAATTATATTCTATATTTTCCATAGGCTTAAGAATTCACTATATTCATGTAAAACCAAATAATCCGAAGAAAAAGCCAGTTTATCCATTATTACTGTTACACGGATGGCCAAGCAGTGTATTAGAATTTTATGATATCATACCGCACTTGGTTAAAGCAACAGACATAAACGATTTTATATTCGAGGTGATAATACCTTCCTTGCCTGGATTTGGTGGCTCAGACTGTCCCTCACACGAAAACCTTAATTGTGAATTTATAGCTGGACTTTTAGTAAAATTTATGAAAGTACTTGGCTTTAACGGATTTTATGTTCACTGTGACGACTGGTGTGTTTTGGTCGTCCAGGCAATGTCAATGAAATATTCTGACAAGTAAGGTTATATTTCCTTTATATAACATTGATATCATCGCACAGAAATGTTCTCAAAAATAGTTTTACACAGTGTACATTTTACGCAATATATACACACTTTTTACACACACTTATACTCTATCTTTTTTTATATGTATGTATCTACTATATTATATATAAATTTTAATTATAAATTGTAATTATTGCAGTTTACTGGCTATAAGTTACACTCTATGTCAAGTAGAAAATTTTTCTGATTTATCGCTCTATATAGCAACTAAACTTATGAACATTCGTGAAGCACGCGAACAATCAAACTTAAAAAACGAATGTTATTATTCTCCCACTTCATCATGTACACTCACACTTGGTACGTAACGTACATACTTACATTAGTAACTGTATGTAAAAAAATGTACATTTTTTAAATAAATTATACAAAAGACATATGTGTGTATACACTTAAGATTGCTGTATTTGGCAACGTGATATAACAATGTTTCAGGAATGAGCTTACAACATTCACCTGTTATCTTAATGATATATCTTTTTGAAAAATTTGTAAAGGATGCAGTTCATTCTGATACTCTTAAAATCCTAGAAAATTATCAATATCTTCAATTTCTTAATAATGTAATGATGTACTGGGCGACGAACAGCATAACTAACACTTTAAAAGCCTATTCGGGATATTTCACATTTAGCGAAGATGTTGACGAAAACAAGATATCACAATCGTATGTAATCTACATCACATATTGTTACATCAATTCGTAATATTATCATATTACTTTGTACTATGAACTGCAAATATGTATTTTATTTACAGTCTAAGTAACATCTATACAAGAGTGAGCTTATTTCTTCCTGAACTTTTAAGACATCACGTTCTCTGTGGTAATCAATTTACCGTTAACGGTTATCGATTTCCGGCGATAGAAGATTCTTATACTCTCATGACTGTTATTTTTAACGTTTTCAAAGATTTTTTTGATTCTTCAATGAACGTTACTGGGTCTAGATTAATGACTGAGGCTAGATTAAGAAGATCGATATGGCAACATTGAATGGTAACATAATGTTGAAATAATTTGCATTATTATTATCTAAATACAAATGCCAGATAGTATGTATGGTTGATCTATAATATCAACAATCGCCTTTAGTTTAAACGTACCTCAAGATACTAGTACTTTTGAAAACATACACAACATGTACACAACAACTAAAACCTGCGAATTAAGAAATGATGCAAACGAGAAAACATTTATTAATACTTAACAACTATACAAATCGCACAGATCAAAATTGTACACTGGCTCTCTAGTATTTAACAGTAAAAGAAATAATAAGGCTACTAAGAACCAAAAATCGAATTTAATTGGAATCATAATGTATATAATTTTTACACTTTTAATGAAAAACATATTTTGCACGTGTAGTATCCTCTTATTCTTAATAATTTTGGCGTTATTGTTTCTTAATATTTTGTTTTAACTGTAGACTAATTTCATTTTTTTAATTAAAAGAACCGTACCATATAAAACCACATCAAGATCTAGATAGTTTTTACGCAACTTTTTGAGATAGATTTTACTCGGAATAATTCCGACTCTTATTGTTTCTACTTTTTCTTTCAAAAGAATGAGAAAAAACAACACAGAGTGACAGTATTCCAATCGGAATTGATTACAAAAAAGGTTCTTTACTACCTTATGAAATATTATGAAATATTATGAAAATGTCGATTTCATGCAAAATGATTCTGATTTTTGTTGTATTTTTTCTCTTTAAGAGAAAAAGAAAATAAAATCAAAAATGAAAGTCCAATCGGAAGTAATTTTGAATACGTTTCAGATCAGCAAATTTAAGCAGAGGTATTACAATGAGGGTCATAAATATCTTTGCACATCAAATTGAACTAAAGAATGCCTTTTACTGTTTAAGATATTATTAGTTCAATTTCATGCGCGGGAGATATTTATCATATCTTTCAATTGTATGTAGATCTTTTGAAATTAATTCAGATTTCAAAAAATTCCGGTAAACAAATTTTTTATTTTTCTATTATTCTATAGAAAAATAGAAGAAAAAAAAAACGGAAAATTTTGTTAGCGGAATTAATTCTGAAACATTACTAGCTTCTCAAGTTGCTCAACTGTTTTTTGTAGCATCATGTTCTACAAATCGCAAGATATTCAATTTTGTAGGTTTTATATCTTAGTAAAACGGTAGCTGTGATTAAGGAGGAATTTAAATTAAAATATCTCGTATACTTTACGTTTTGCACATACATCCCGGTTTAGACTCTTAGTTGCCGAGAAAATTATTACTTTAGAATCTAATTTTCTTTCTTACTAGAAGAGCCTGTACAGAAATTTGTACATTATCATAAAATAGAAAATTTGGAATGTCAGAACGTGTAATATCAAGCACACTATGAAATTATAATATGTAAATGTATATCATACGTATATATAACATAAGATAAAAAACATAATATACTTGCTGTATATTAAAATATGCAGGTATTCCTCTAAATATTATAATTTTATGTTAATTTAAATGTTTTGTATAATAAAATTTAAAATAATATTAAAATAATATTTAAAATATAAATCAATAATATTTAAAATAAGTTATTCTAAAAGTAAGTAATTTTTTAATGCAAAATATTAAGAATTACATTCTCAAGAAAAAAGCAGTTTTATTTTTTAATAAAAATCTAAATAATCGGTTTTAATAAGATAAATATTTTGAATTACTAATGGTTTGTTATTTATATACCATTACTAAATATGACAATTAATATGACCATTAATATGACAATTTAAAGATTTAAAACATAATTAATTACATAATGAATGCGTTTGGCGTACTTAACTCTTTATATTTGACTTACAATTAATTTAATTTATGATTGAAGTTTTACATAGAGGGATACCTGTATAACATTTAAAATGTATGTTCTCTTTATTTGCATGTGTGTGAGGGAGAGAACGTTTTTCTATAAATAACATTGTAATCCTAGCTGACTACAGAAGCAGTGATTTGTATCCGAATAATAAAGACTGTTTCTTTTTAAAACAAGCGTTTGGTTTATTAATTGGTTATATGCTCTTACTGGAAGCGTCAAGCAAGAATTTTTTACGCGGTACAGAAACAAGGTTTTGTTGTACTTCATGAGTTTTTTTAGCACACAATTACGTTTTGTTAGTGTATCTTACTGATCTTTCTTCTACGTTGATCACTCTATGTTTTCTTTAGCAAATATACAAATCTTGACTAATTAAATTATTAAAGAAAATGTGTAAAAACACATTTACTCTGCTAAGCAAATACGAATAATTTAATATAAATGTGATAAATTAGGAGTATATAAAAACGTAAATCACTATTTGCACAAGATTTTTCTACATAATTTCTTCTCTCTCTCTCTCTCTCTCTCTCTCTCTCTCTTTCTCTCTCTTTATCTATCTATCTATCTATCTATCTATCTATCTATCTATCTATTTTTTTCTCACTCTCTCGAAACGATAATCAGAATAAAATTCATCACATATAAAAGTAAATGTGTGTATAAAATATATTAATCTCCTGTTATTCTACGCGAATAGCAATTGAAATACATATTTGTATAGGTTCTTATTCGACATGTATATTACACCGTAGTGAGAATATTATGTTTGTAAATAATTCCGTGATATACGAAGTCCTCGAACAGTCTTCGCTCACCTCAGTCACCGTCAAACATTGATTCAATACAGACGCGTTTAAGAAGAGCGGTTTAGTGAACATCGAGCAATGAATTAAAGTTTAATTTATTTGAGTAGAAATCATATTTAGTTTTTTATTTCAAAAGTTAAAAAGTTTGCCGACACCATGAATAACGCGTTAATTGAAATCGGAGACCCTGACATAAANGAAGAAAGAGTGATTCAACCAATGCAGTTTAACTTTTCTAAACAAGTAAGATAATTATTAGAAACACATCCATTTTAAAGCTGATTTAATGAAAGATCNAAATACTGAAACATTCAATACACAATACTTAATATTTTCAGTTTAGAAANAAAATCAAAAAACATCTACAAAAGACTANAANCAATATTGCAACTGCAACACTCATATCTGATTCTTCTTTAGACGATTACAATATGTATCTGAAAAATNTAATAAAATATTGGACAAGGNATTACAATTTTCGTGAACAAGAAAAAGTTTTCAATCAATATCCACATTTTTATATTACTATTGACGGTACGAATTCAATTATAATTATTAATTATATTAAAACTACTACTTACATATTATCGATGTACACATTGATATAGAAGGTTTTAAATATATATATATATATATTGACTAATATTATTTAAAATATTACACTTATAAATGCTAATTTGAAATAATTTATATCTTAAAACATTGCTGAACTTCACAGTAACAGTTTAACTGGATTGTTACTGTAAGTAAAAAATATTTATATTTTCAAGTTATTTCCGTAAAATTTAATTTTTTGTAATTATATACATTTTGTTATACTACAAATGTACAAGAAGTGATTTAACATTTAGAATGACAGTAACTTTCTGCNAGCAAACTTGCTATCAATAAATTTTNTTTTATAATTCTTTTAATTCTGTAATTAAAAATGTTAAAAAATAAAAAAGATTTTGTAAAATTTTGTGNAACTTGTGCTATGAAAAAAGGGAAAATGATGCAATAACGGTGTTCGTTNATGAAAGGTTAAATAATATGTTTGTAAAATTCATCTAATTTCTCTCTCTCTCTTTCATTATCAGAAAATCAATTCTCTTCGGAAAAACATCATGCTATTTACATAGTATAACACCAAGCTAGTTTTTACATTGAGGTAGCACGTGAGAAGCACATGATAAGCAATGACGTATTGCTTCTCATTTCAACTAATCAAAGCTGTACACCGCACGGAAGCATGTTACCTCAGTATAAAAGCTATTTTGAAATTTTTATATACCTAACCATAATGTTTTTAAAGAAAAGTGACTTTCTAGTAATGAAAGATATTAGAGCAGACGTAACAGACGTAGAAACATAAAGACGTTAGAGAAACGTAACACANCATGTCTCAAAAAATTAAATTAAAAATAGGACAAAAAAAAGAAAGTAAAGACATATATGTATGTAAAATATTGATAATATTCTATTTTTAGATTATACTGCACATTCTGTTTTTTGTAGACTTAAAGATTCACTATATTCATGTAAAANCAAANAATCCNGNTGAAAAACCAGTTTATCCATTATTAATGTTACACGGATGGCCAAGCAGTATACTGGAATTTTACAATGTCATACCCCTCTTANTTGACACATCGNACGATTTTACGTTCGAANTGATAATACCTTCTTTGCCTGGATTTGGTGNCTCAGAGTGTCCCNCACATTTTAANTGTGACTTTATAGCCAAACTTCTAGTAAAATTGATGACANTACTTGGGCACGAACAATTTTTTGTTCACTGTGACGACTGGTGTGTTTTTCTTGTCCACGNAATGTCAGCAAAGTACTCTGCCAAGTAAGCTTACATTCTTTTTATATGACATTAATTACACATAATTATTCACAGAAATAATTTGTTACGGTGTACACAATATAGCTATATACAACATACTTACATCATACATTATATTATACATGCAATACATACACACACACACACACACACACACATACTCTATCTTTTACTTTTTTTTATATATATTTAATATATTATGTATTATTTTACTTATATGTAGTTTACTGGCTATACATTATGCTCTATGTCAGTTAGACGAGTTTACGAATCTATCGCGCTATACAACAAAGAGAATCGCAAACATTAATAATGCGCGCGCGCAAGAACTAATATTAAAAAACGAATATTATAATTCTCCAACTTCATTATGTGCTCAAACACTTGGTACGTATATAATATAACTTATATTAGTAACTATATGCAAAAATGTACATTTTTTATAAATTATATGCAGAAGACAATTGCATACCACATTTAAGAGTGCAATAATTGGCAGCATAGAATACACCATGTTTGTTTCAGGAATAAGCGCACTGCATTCACCTGTTACCTTACTAGCGTATATTTNCGAGAAATTTGTAAAAGACTCAATTCATTCTAATACTATTGATATCCTAAAGAAGTATAAATATTCTCATTTCATTAATAACGTAATGATGTACTGGACGACGAACAGCATACTTAAGACTTTGAATGCATATTCAGGATATTTATCATTTGACGAATCAGAAGAATTTGAATCGTATGTAATCCATCACAAGTTATCAATACATCGATACTATGAATTGCATGTATACATATATATATATATATGTATAATATATTTTATTTACAGTCAATATAACAACTTCGTAGGAATTACGTTGTTTGTTCCTNACAGTGTGCGCCCTAACATTGCCATTGAAAATGAAGAAAATGTTTCTGTCTTCTGTGTTTTTAAGAATTCTCGATTTCCGGCGTGTGAAATACCTAATTTTTTATCCCGCGCTATTTTTTGCCGTTTCAAGGAATTTCTTGAGCAAAACTTAGCTGACTAAGACTTGATTTAGAGACTGACGCAACGTTAAATAGTAACATAAGTTTGAGAAAATTCGTATTATTGTTATCCAAATAAGAAAGCAGACAGTATGTAATGTCTATTCACATTAAGTAACAATCACATTCGGCGATAAACTCAAGATAATACTATTTCTAAAAATCTCCATNTAACATCTAAGAAAACGCAAATTAAGTAATAGTGCAAAAGAATAACTATTATTTTTTAATAACATTTATATAAATTAACATTTATATAAATTGCACAGATCAGATGTACATAACTCTGTAGCATTCNACAGTTAAAAAAATAATAAAGCCAATAAAGACCAATAGTAAATTTAATTTGAATATTATAATGTGTATATAATGTAAAATTTCAATGAAAAAAATATTTTGCACGTATATTTAGCACTCTCTTATTCTGCCATTATTATTTTTTAATATTTTGTTTTAAATATAGACTCGTCATTTTTATTAAAATAAGCGTGAAAGATAAAATCACATCAAGATCTAGGTAGCTTTTACATTTTTTTGGAATAGAGTTTATTCGGAATGGTTTTATAGCGTCGTGATTTGCAAATCGCGAAATATTCAATTACGTAGATTTTATATTTTATTAAAACGTTAACTATGACCAAGAAGTAATTTAAATTAAAACAAAGACGTTACTAAAGTAAAACATTTTGTGTAATTGCAAATATACTTTGCGTATACATTCAGCGCGTATGGCTCTTATTTGCCGTATATTATTATATTTTGGTAACAATTTAATTTTTTTCCGATTAGAAGAGCTTGTACAGAAGTTTATACANTATCATAAATGTAAAGTCGTAAATGTTTAATAGCGTGCGCATTATAAAATTGTAATATAAATGTATATTCTATGTATAACGTGATATAAATAATGTAATATACTTATTGTATATTATAATACGCAAGTATTCCTCTAAATATTGTAATTTTATGTTGAGCCAAATATTACTTTTTATTAATACTAGCACAACACAGGCGCGCGCTACGCGCACGCTATTGTTATTTTTATTTAACGTGTTGTCAGTGAACACAACCTGTTACCGCGTTGACAGATAGTATATACGTCTTATAAACCGTCTTATAATACACATATGAGAAATGTCAGAAATAACGCATGAAAATCAAACTCAAAAAATAGTGAGAGAGAGAAGTGGAAAAACAACACGTGACAAGGAAAAGGGTAAAAAAGAGAATATTATATATATTACATGTAATATTCTATATCTATATATAATACACACACATACGCATATATGTATATATATATATACCGTAATTACGTGGCCGAAGTCGGTAACACCGCCGCGGTCGCGCGGCCGAGGTCAGTGACTTCACCGCAGTCGCGCGATCGCGGCGGGGTCAATGACCCTGGTCGCGAGACTGCGGTCAGTGACGTCCCCCCCACCAAGGCCGCGCGGCCGAGGCCAGTGACCCCGCCTCCACCAAGGCCGCGCGCCCGCGGTCAGTGATCCCGCCAAGGCCGCGCGGCCGAGGTCAGTGACTCCGCCAAAGTTGCACGGCGGAGGTCAGTGACATTACTCTGTAGTATGTATATAATACATATAATACAATATAAAGTATAATATTATAAATATATAATAAATTATATGTTTAATATGTATTATTTACTGTTATATATAATATAAATTACAGTCACGTTATTTTCACGTGTTGTTTTTCTACTCTTTCCTGTTACGTGACTTTATTTACGTTTTTAATTTTGTCTACATATACGAGGAACTGTCTCAAAAAATCGCTTTTCATTATTTTCTCTCTCGATCTTACCGATTCGACTCGATCAACCAACCAACCAATTGGCAACGCGGAAAAAGGCAACAATAGGTGCGATATATTCGACTCCAAACGCGCACTTCTCGGTCCGAATGCCTTTTTTAATATAGGACCAAAATAAATAATTATGTTACAATTAATTAATTTTATAACGCAAAATAGAATTATATTTCTAAGAATTATATTTTCTAAGAATTATATTTCCATGGAAACACAGTTTTAATTTTTTAAACAGAAATTTAATAATTGGTTTTAATAAGATAAGTATTTTACATGACCACACACAATGGTTTATTATTTTTGTATGTAAAATATCGTCAATATGACAATTTAAAGACTAAAATTATACATATATATGGTAAATGTACAGAAAAGGTCACCCCCCTCCGATTTCAATGACCTTGACATATGTTGTCAAGGACACCTTCCTGAGTAACAATCCGTAAATTTTAGCCGTCGCTCGTTGTTAATAAAAAAGTTATGAACAATTGAAGTTTGAAAACTAAGTTTTTATTTTGCGACATTGTGTACAATTTTTTCTTCGTGATTCTTCGAATCTTTTTGTCGGTGTTGTAAACGTGTAGGCAGGGGGGCTGCGCCCCCCTGCATTCCCTTAAAATCTAACCTAACCCTAACCTAACCTAAACTTTTCTTTCTGCACTCCCCCTCGCAAAATTTTCACTTATATCTATTGATATTATAGTAACACAGGTTAGGTTAGGGTTAGGTTAGATTGTAGGGTGGGTGCAGGGGGGGCGCAGCCCCCCCTGTCTACACGCTTACAACACCAACATAAAAAACATGAAAGAATTAAGATGTGATCCCATGCACTGTTATTTTTTGCGTAACGCGTAACGCGTAATCAGAGATTACGTGTTTAATATAAAACAATATTGAATATAAGAAGGAGTGAGAAATACATCATAATATTTGTTTCCGACCTCTACATACTTATTGACATTATACGTCTTTGTAAAGTAAATATTTAGTATGTACGATATTTTGAAGGCTACTTTTTCATTCTTTTTGTTCGTGTTATAAGCGTGTAAGCAGCAGCCTTAGTTTTCAAACTTCAATT